TATATGCTAACTTTAGGTATTTTGTAAACAATCGATGTTACCATAATTTAAGTTAGGTTAAAAAGTTCAACGCGCTTTCTAATTTGTCTTTCTAAGTTTGAGTCGAAAAAATAGCAGCGTAGGTCTCTACCAGAGGGCTGCAATGAGTATCATTGAGTAGGCTTGATCACACACAGTGGAAATACAATCAAACTCAATCAGTCGGTCAGATGCAACATGTTCATTCGAGTTACTCAAGCCAAACGAAAAAGTTGTGATCAAACATGTATTGATCGAAGTTTTGTGATCGCAATCAAACAGCTCACATGAGTTATTTGTTTACGAACTTACGTTGAATTGTTCATAACGGGTCGATCATCTATGATGAGTCTGATCGGTTTTATTTATCATAGTTAAGTGAGTGATTTGATTTGATTAAAACACAAATGTTCGAATTTGAGCGAAATCATGATTGTAATTTTACTAAGGATTTCATAACTAAAAGATGTCCCCATTAAAGAAATTGCTACAAATTATATTTAATAAGCATACAATTTTTCATTTTATTTGGGTTTTTGGTATGCTAGACTTCAGTAACTTATTTGAAAAAAAAAAACAAAATTAAATTTTTTAATAAAGAAACACATCATTAGTATTTAGAAAACTAAAAATGTTTAAATATTTTTTTATTTTACAATATTGGTCAAGATTTTTCACAAACTTCGACCTTTTCGTTTACCTACACCTGTCTAGTTTCTACTTGCAACAATTTCGGTCGCACTATCACAATATTCTTCCATTTCAAATATTAAAAAAGTCAAAATAAACTGTCCTAACTTGATTAAATGGTTGAATAAACAATGACGCTGAGCGAACTCGATTCAAAGAAGACAATCACGGTTGTGATTGCTCATTTACATTCATTTGTTCGATCAACTCATGTTGCTGAACACATCAAACCGTCTCGAACGCTCATGTTTGATTATGAGTGAAGTGATTCAAACTGAGCGTTCGATTCGATCAGAAGCGAAAACGGTCATTTCATTCAGATCAAACTAAACGACTGCATCAACAAAAATCATGTAAGAAACCGAGTATGCTTGAATTTTTGCATACTCGTTGCAGCCCTCTGGTCTCTACACAATATTCTGTTTTCGTAAGAATTTTAAATTCCCCCCATTCCTTCACATTTTTTTTTTTTTGTGATTACAATGCCTAATCTATTTCTTTTTTTCGTATTAAAAAACCTTTCCACCCAATTTTATCACAGAGAGAATTAGGTTGATATTTTGTGGATTTGTGATATTTATTTTCACAAATATTTGTCTAATATATATTCATCGATTTCTTCCTGTTGTGTGGTGGTAAACCACAACAATAACAACACATTGAAAACGAAACAAAAACCGTAACAGTAGCAACAACATTTTTTCCAAGAACAAATATTCCATAGGCAAATAAGGATTAATATCCTGAAAAATATCAAAAAAAAAAACTTTCCAATTCCTACACCACTAAATTGTTTCGGGGCATTTAGTTTAATGGCAACTAACGAAGGCAACCAACGTAACCAAAACTGGTAGCATAAAAAATAACATTGAGAGCAAATGCAAAACCATCATTATTTCCCCTGCGATTTTTTTGTGAATGGTCCAACAATACCCAAATGGAAATTATCGTAAAATATACAAAACACACACATATACTCACAGCTAGCTACAGACATAATGACACATATCTATGTTATTTCATCGATATCCATAGATTATTTTCGACTGGGGGAACTGGAAAAAACGCATATTAGAATTTGTTGAAATACAACAACAACGGCAGCCACAGCAATGACCCTACCTATCTATGTATAATATTCGCATGGAAATTTCCCCAAAGTGCAATTGGAGAGTGGATTAATATAAAACAAACAAAAAGATATGCGTAGCAATGTATATATTGCTGTTAACCAATACCTTTTATGAAAATAAATAACGGAAAAATGTGTGTGTGTGTATGTATGTGTGTTTCCCTAAGTTTATTGACAACAAATAGTCAAATTGGGAATAAATTAGAAAAAATTGCGGTTTAGTTAAATAGGTCAATTTACAAAGTATACAATTTTCCGAAACATAACAAATATTAACAGATGATATATTTAAATTGGCTAGATCATTTTCGTGATATTTTTTCGTTAATTTAAATTAGCATTTTTGAATGTATATAATTAGCTATAATTGGTTACAAGACAAAACAAACATATTATTTATAGAAAATATGTAGAATTTCTGTCGTGCCTTTACATTTTAAAGAAGGTTATTAGAAACCATACTTTAATATCAAAAATAAGTAAGTAATTTCTTAAACCAATGATTCTTGAAGTAATCAAAAGCTATTTACAAACATATTTTTAAAATGTTGCAAAATATGGATTAATATTGGGATTCATTTGTATATAGAATCATATAACATTTGATATTTTCCCCGAAATGTTATGTGAAACGTTAACTCATATTAAACACAAAAATAACACTTAAAAAACATAATGATATACAGGGTGAGACGAAAAAACTGCAACAAACTTCAGACTGCTGTCATTCCTAATCACAGTGACTTGATCGAAACCTGCGTCGCATTGGCCGAAAAATGGTTCGTGAGCAAAACATATCGCAATATTCCATTCTGCAAATATTGAAAAATGAGCTCGGGGTAAAGCCATTGAAATTGCAAAAAGTGCACCGCAACGGAAAGAAAATAGACTCAAAAGAGCTAAAGAGTTGCTTCGCTTGGCCGAAAGTGGTAAACTGCCGAATTTGGTTTTCTCCGATGAGAAAACATTCGTTTTCTAGCAGTTTATAAACAAACAAAATAATCGTGTTTACTTGTCAAAGAGGTCAGCTGAAGATGTGCACCTTCGGTTGGCCACCATAACTCAAGCGCCAGCCATGATGTTGGTGTGGGCCGCCTTAACAGCCGATGATCGCTCTCCGCTCGTATTAATCGATAGTGGCATTAGAATAAATGCCGAATATATTCTGGTGGTTGTATTAAAGCCTTGGGCACGCAAACATTTTGGCCGCAGATCTTGGACATTCCAACAGGACTCAGCACCAACGCACTCAGCAAGCGCCACAAAAGAATAGTTACAAAATGAGATTCTCCGCAGCATTTCCAGCGCACAATAGCCACCAAAATCTCCGGATACCGATCCGTTGGACTATTGTATCTGGAGTATTTTTGAAAGCAACGTTGGCACTAAAAAATTGCAAAGTATTGATCACCTCAAGCGAGCGCTTCGCTGGGAATGGACCAAAATACCGCAGAGCAACATTCGGGCAGCGTGTGACGGTTTCATTTGCCGTTTGAAGGCCATAATCCGTGACAAAGGTGACCAATTCGAACAAATCTAAACTTATTCTAAAATTTGATGCTGTTTCCGAGTTTTATGCTTTCATTCAATAAAATTTAAAAAAAATGTAAAAATTATGGCGTTTGACTTTGTTGCAAACGCATAGCTATATCGGAAAAGATATCGATCTAATATGGCATACTAATTTTCAGGCCTTATTTGGTCGTATGTGCAAAACTCCATACTATTTGGGCTGATATTACACATTTTGTACACAATCGGACTAAGATAAATATGGAAGTTATATCTAAATTTGAACCGAATATCTCCAATAGGGTTCGTCCTTGGGTCATACAAATTATTTGTGCAAATTTTCTTCTGGTTTGGGCAATAAATGCAACCTGTACTTTCTTTACAAAAATACATGGACAGACGGACGGACATACAAAAATCGAATTAGAATGTCATTCTATGCAGATCATCAAAAGAAACCATGGTTCTATCTCGTTTCCTTTTGCCTGCAACAAACAAATGCACAAAGACGTAATACCCTGATCACCTTGTGGTGTGGGGTATAAAAACGAAGCAGAACAATGATCATTGAAAACGTTTTCCTCAATACTAACTATTTACAAATAATGTACACACTAATCTTAAGTAAAATTCATGATTTTAATCTAAAAATATTTGAGAACAGGTAAAAAAGGAGCGGCCTCAAAAAACTTTTAATACACTCCCAGTGAAATTCAATTGAAAAATGACACAATAACTGTAACAATTCCGAATTTTTCATATGGGGCTATACGAAAACGTGGACCAAACACCCAATTATCTGTTAGAAAGGGTGATATATGTAATCATCAAAATACCAAATATACGAAAGTATCGTTATATGGGGGCAATACGGAAGCCCTTAAAGCCAGTTATCTGCTATAGAAAATAACTTCTATTACGAACTCTACCAAGTTTGAGATACTGGTCAAAAAAGTACCTAAAATAATCAAAATACCACATATAGGGAGGTACCGTTATATGGGGGCTATACGAAGGATTGGATTTGTATAGGAAATTTTCTGTCTTAGGAGGTAATAGCCATTACGAACTCCAAATAACAAATTTGAAATTCCGGTGCAAAGTGTGATACAATTCATTAACATACCGCATATTTAGAGGTACAGTCATATGGGGACTATACCGACACTTGCAAATATATTTTAAACGTCATTTCCTGGGACTCAATCAAAAAATGTGCCTTTTTAAGGAAATAATCATGGCTATACGTGAATTGATTTAGCAAATCTTTTATTAGGAGTTGATACCATTTCCTTAGTGCCTAAAATAATATTTTGAAATTGTTGCATAACTTGTAATAGAAATTTAACCAAATATGAAGTTAAATCTAACGAAACTATGATAAGTTCAATGCATATTTCCACTCTACCTTTATGTACTATGTGCGGTTAATACCCTTCGGGATATTTTTTTTCTTGGAAATTCAATTGGAAATATTCACGAATTCTATAATTCCAAAAAATTGTCAGATATTTCTATTATTTTTGCTCTCTTCACCCTATCTGTTTTTCTGATACACTTGAATATTGAATAACACACTCATCGGTTCTTCTTTTTGTTTTTTTTTTTTTTTTTTTGCTCTGTCCCATTTGTTTACTTTTCATTTTAGACTGGCATGTCACGTTTGAACTATACACCCACAACGGATTTGGATTATGGTACAATATCATGTTGGGCCCGAAATTCCATTGGTGTACAAAAATCTCCATGTGTTTTTCAAGTGGTAGCAGCGGGTAAGTACAGATTCCATACATACGTATACGAAAACAAACAAACCATCAAACCAATAGACAAACATACGCATCATCATCATCAGCAGCAACTGTGTGTTTGTCATTCACATGAACTCCTGACGTGTGGATGAGAACAAGAGGACGTACGACGAACTATTCATTTAATTTACTTAACTGTCATTTGAGAGCAAAACTAAAACCGTTGACAACATAAAACTTTAGTAAATTTTTGTATGTTTTAATTTGTGTGTGTGTGTTTTTTTTTTTTCTCTCTCTTTTTCTCGGTTGCAAACATCAGGTCGTCCATTTCCATTACAAAACTGTTCGATAACCAACCAATCAGCAGATTCTATACAAGTGGATTGTATTGAGGGTTTTGATGGTGGTCTACCACAAAGTTTCATGTTGGAGTTGGTGGAATTAAACAATTTGCGTTTGGCACGAAACATAACATTGCAGGTAAGTTGGCTTTAAATAAAAATTCACCAAACAAAAAAGAAAACCTATCCAACCATTAAACCTAAAGTATTTTCATTGAATTTGCTAGCATTGCCAATATAAAATAAACTTCCAAAAAAAACTTCGAAAGCAACAATTATTTGAAATTGTTGATAATTATTTCTAGCACAAACATTGGTATGTGTGGTTTAAGATGTATGTGGTTGTGAGTGTGTGGTCTAAGGCTTCTTAAGAAAATTAAAGCTAGCCCTTGACCAGGAATTTCTTCATGGAATGTTTTCTCTTCATCTTCAATGGCAAAAAACTTTCGCATCATTAGTTCGTCCTTCTGCTTGCCGGTGGGCGTTATGAGGAATATCCTTTTTATTGAGTTGAGAAAAAAAATTATTGTGTTGTTGTTACTGTTGTTTTTGTACATGTGGTTGGTAGAAAAATATCAATTGCCGAAATTAAAAAAGTTTCTATGAAAGTTTTTTTCAGCTTTTTTTTTCTTTCTTTACCAATGCAATAACATGAAAACCAACATTAAAATACATACATACACACTCTCACATTTAGGTGAGAACAGATCCCATATTTATATGAGTAATTCATATAATGCCTGATTTTTTGTGGTATAATTTTTTTTGCCAAAGTTTAACATTTCAAGGCAAACCAAAAAGTTTTATTTTCAAGATATACATATGCATTTATCCAAAATGAAGTATTTGTTATTGTTGGTGTAATCAACTTCCAGTGGAATGAAACAGAAACAATGAAGTAAAATGATATCAAAATATTTACTGCTGGGCCGTGTATCTAACGTCGCACCTGACATAAGGATGGGTGATCAAAAAGCAAGGGGGAATTGAAATAAGAAAACGGTTATAAGGAATCAGTTCCACAGTTCTGTTGTACTGACAGTGTAACGTTCGTGACATGGGACAAATAAGTTTATTACAAATAAATATTTGAAACCAGTAAAGAAAATCTTCAAGTCGGGCGGGGCCGACTTTATGATACCCTACACCACTTTGCTAATTAAGTAGAGCTTCACATAACAATTAAAAGTTTTTATGGCAGAATTCAATCATACACGCTATGATTATAATTATAATTTAAAGTTCAAAGGACTAAATATGCCGAAGCATTTGTATCTTTTAAATTCGGCATTGTATTGCCCATTTGGTGCACAATTAATTTGAAATCGGATAAAGATATATATATATGGGAGCTATATCCAAATCTGAACCGATCTCGATAAAATTTGGCAAAGATATTTCTGAGCTGTATTTGATATATTTCCCAGAATATCGTTGTTACGGAGTGCATATTACGGCTGTGGGTAACAAATATAACAAATCGGATGAATTATATATATGGAAGCTATAGCTATATCTGAACCGATCTTCAATGACATACTAGCTTCTAGACTCAATTCGGTCGTAAGTGCCAAATTCCATCCCATTTGGACAAGTATTAGACGTTTGGTGCACAATAAAAGGTAAATCGGACGAAGTTATATATGGGAGCTATATCCAAATCTGAACCGATCTCGATAAAATTTAGCAAATGTATTTCTGAGCTGTATTTGATATATTTCCCCAAATATTGTTGTTGCATAGTGCATATTACGGCGGCGGTGGACAAAAATAACAAATCGGATGAACAATATATATGGGAGCTATAGCTATATCTGAACCGATTTCGATCAAATTTGGCATACATATTTTCAGGCCTAATTTGGGTGTATATGCAAAATTCCATACAATTCGGGCTGATATTACACGTTTGGTGCACAATAAAAGGCAAATCGGACGAAGATATATATGGGAGCTATATCTAAATTTTGACCGATTATTTCCAATTTCAATAGGGTTCGTCATTGGGCCAAACAAAAGACCTTTGCAAAATTTCATCTGGATCGGTCAGTAAATGCGACCTGTACTTTGTTTACAAAAATACATGGACAGACGGACGGACGGACATGCATAAATCGACTCAGAATGTGATTCTATGCAGATCATCAAAAGGAACTATGGGTCTATCTCGTTTCCTTCTGCCTGTTACAAACAAATGCACAAAGACATAATACCCTGACCATCTTGTGGTGTGGGGTATAAAAATGTGAGTAGCAGACTAGAAGCATTCTTAGAAATAGAAAATATTTAGGAAGATTTTGTTTAAGGCACACCTCAACCAGAGATAATTTTTATAAGTCCTCTGCAGGCAGGAGACCGTTGAAAAACTACTTATACCCTACAACACTATGTATTGGAGTTTGACTGGGCCAAAAATTATGTAACATCTCCAAATTTTGGTCGCAATTATAGCCCAATCCTCACGGAATTTTGCATGGAGTTTAGGGTCAGATTAGAAGCCTATTTTTTTGGAAATGATCGCGAAATATTTAAAGGAAGAAATATACAGAAAACACAATTTTTGCCTGATTTTGTAGATGCTCTACAGGTCGCAACTATGGATCAATCAACGCGTAGGACAGAAGCCTACCAATTTGTATGATCATCGAAAAATTTTTATAGGGTGAATTTGTGTGGAGCTGATAGCCAAAATATTGGATATATAGCGCAATATGTGCAATCTATATATTAAAGAAAGAACGGCTGTAATAAAAAATAATATAATAAATATAACTCCTATGAGAGTTGTCAATAGATACATGGCCCTTAAAAGGTATCCAACAAGTAGAAGAAGGAAGAATCTAGGCAGGGTTCTCTTAACAGATTTCCCATAGATATGATGCAATTAAAACAAATTTGTATCACAGGTAATTCTGTCCTTAGAGGGATATTTCATATTTAAAAACCCCTTGAAATAACACTATAAGAAGACTTCTATAGGTAAAGTATATTAGAGATGTTTTATATTCATAGTGAACTATTGAGAAGAGAAATAGTTTTCTTCAGAAATAGACCACTGATAAGTCTTCTTTTTCGTGGACGAAAGCCTTTGTTGGGGTTTCTGTACATGACAATCCCTTTAAGTGATTCTAAGAGGAGTCTGTAATAAAATTAAGGCTTTTTAAAGGATTTCTGCAAACATAACGCCTATGAGCGTTGTCTACAAATAAATGACCTGAGGTGAAGATTAAGGAGGTTTTAAAGGATTCCTGCAGATAGATGTGAAAAGTTTCTTATAAATAGCATACCTTTAAAAGCTTTTTTGTTTTATAGTGTTTTGTAAAATCATCTAAAGATAGAAGTGCTTCGAGGAATATTTTATGGATGAAAATCCTTGGAAATGTATATTTTTTTATTGAAGACGAACCTCTTTCAAAGGCCTTCTGCATAAAAGACTTTTGAAATTAGGAAAACCTTAGACAGATTTTCTATTGACATAAGGTCTACGAGAGGTCTTCTACAGGTGACGTATTTTAGAGATGTCTTATCTTATTATCTTATCTTATTCAATAGACGCTTGAGAAGTTTTTTAAAATATAAATTTTTTGACCTTTGTCTTTCGAGAGATAAAATCGATTTAAAATACCGAGTTTCAAAAAATGAAATCTGACTAGAATTATCAAACACCGAATATCTGCATTTCCATTTATATGGGGCTACACCAAACCGTGAATATATTGGGTTAAAAATATTGGAAAACAAGCGCCTATATTGGAACTTTTCTGCCAGAGGAAAAAGTGGTCATTAGGAAGGACAAACCACTGTATATCGGGAGGTACCTCTATGAGGGTTATACGAAAACGTAGATTTGTATAGACCACTATCTGCCTGACAGCTAAATCTTCGCTAATAATTTTAAATGTTAAATTTGAAACAATTCCATTGGATGATATGGCTACCATCATCAAAATAACAAATATCCTTATCACACGTAGCATTTGTATGATATTAATTGTTCCAATCTAAGTCGATCTCTTCGAAAGTTAGAGCGAGAGGCAGTCATTTTTAAACCGTTTAAGAAATGTACACAGATTGTTGGGTCCTGACGTACAATTTCCATGGGCTACAAAAGGAATGACAATCTTAATGTACTGTGTACTTGGGGGTATACGAAATATTTCAAGATATCTGTATATAGAATGCCAACTTTTAAAATTTATTTTAAAAAGTAAACCTAGAACTAGAATTATTATACCCTACAACACTATGTGTTGACAGTATTATAAGTGTGATTGGGCCAAAAATTGTGTAACACCTCGAAATATTGGTTTCCAAAATAGGAAAGTATATATGAATCTTCCTATCTCGCCGAGTTGAGTCGATCTAGCTATGTATGTCCTTTCGTCCGTCTGTCCTTCTGTCCATGTTAATTTGTAATCACTCTACAGGTCGCAATTATGGCCCGATCTTCACGAAATTTATTTTATTATTTTATTTATTTGAGTATTTTTAAGCATACTCTTCGAAATGGCTATGAAAAATTCAAAGGTTTTTCAACGGATTTTTTTATTTCTAAACTATTGCCATGAATATCTCCAACTAGATTTTTTCCGTGGAATTTTATTTTTACCAACGAAATATGTACCAATATAACGAACTCAATTAAAAACTAAAAAGTTGCCTTTGATATTCCCTCCCTTAACTTTAGATTTATTCCCATCGTCATCATTCCCTCCCCTTACTTTAGATTTATTCCCATAATCTAATGAGTACATTATTTAATATTTTCTCATGTTTCCATCCATTCAGCTAAATTAAATATTAAATATACCACAAAGGGGAGTTCAATAACTGCAAAGTAATTACTTAGTTTGATTCTGATTTATTAACAATGTGCGCGTGTATGTGTGTGTTACCATTAGCAAATCTCAGAACAGTCAAGTCTAGTCTACAAAATTGACACATCTCACATGTAGCGTTCCGTGAATGATGAATCTAAGGACATCCTCAGAATATCCCGTAAATCTGACATGTAGACTTACAGGAAAAATCAACACATGATAAGTTTTCCCTGTTTGTGCTCACTTGCACACACACACACACTCTCTCTAACAGCAAATTACATATTTATCTATTGTGACAAATTTACATAGATTTTAGAAGTGCATACAAAGCTATAAAGTATGGAGTTGCCAAAGCTGTTTTCTTCTTAAATTTTAATTAAATAGTCCCCAGTATATATTGTTTCGAAATTTATAAGAGAAAATTGAACATGAAATTATTTTTGTAATATCTTAATATTTTTTTTCAAACTTATTAATAGGTTTTAAATATCTCCAATTTACCCAACTATGATCCAATTTGGCAACTCTATTGTCAGTAGAGGGCATGAGTTTGCCATGATATATGGAGTATAACATCAGTTATAAACCTACACGTAGTCTAGAAATATGTGCGAGGAAGACAAATGAATAATGTTATATTATATTCACCGAACTTCTATGTGTGTGTGTGTGTGTGCATAACTTACTCACACACATCAACTTATAGCTGCTTCTCTTTATCTGCATATACGTGAAATGTTACAATGTCAACAAAGTTACGAAACTTTTCCTGTTCAACAGGAATCCAGTAACATATGAAACGAAAGAAAAAAAAACTGAACAGAACACGAACAAAAACCTTTCTCAAGACAAGACAAGGCACTCATCTCCAATTTAAAATAATAACTTGAGCTATCTACCCTGAAGAAATTGACTTTAAACTTTATGTCCTGGAAATGATGTAGTCATTGTTTTTAGGTTTCGTTTCCTTCATTTCTCTTGTTATTGTTGTTGTTGTTGCTGTTCTTGTTTTTCTCCCACTTTCTTCTAAAAGGGTCTATTTCCAAACAACAAACATAAAAAATTGCAAAGTATAGAAAAGAGATTGTTGCAGTAATAATGGAAAGGAAAAGGAAGCAGCAAGACTGGGTAGCTGGGTGAAAGCAAAGTTTTATTGTTTATAATTTCTTTTAAACTGCCTGGAAAAAATGACTGTAACAAAGTTTCATTTCTTTTACTTCGTTGGGTGTTCTTCGTTTACTTTTTTTTTTGTTCTCATGCCTTACAACAAAATGAAATTAGAGAAACGTGCCTCTATTAGTCATGTCTTGCGAAAAAAGTGTCCCCTTTCTTCCTTTGACATAGGTTGTTGAGCTGTGTTTTTTGCGCCCTTTGTTGGAAGCCATAAAATATAAATAAATAAATTTTCTAGCTTAAGAAGACGAAGCAAAAACTTTATTATTGAATTTTTAACTGTGTTTTGTGTCTCTTTTTATTTGCTTTCAGCACACAACAAGTCCAGTTACATTTTTTATTGATAACTTGGATCCCTTGGCCACATATCGTATGATCATCTTTGCTGTCAACGCCAAAGGACGTTCAGAGCCAATTATAATTGATGATATTAATTTTAAGGGTGTTGCTAAATATACAGGTAAGTATCTTTGGGTTGTAAAATAAAAATATTGCAAATAATGCTTATTACAAAGAAACATAATTTCCGGGAGAAGCAAAAGGCCAACGTTTAATTAATATTGAATATAGTAGTTTTTAAATAACTCTTTATATCTAATATATAACTTTTTGGAGGCGGATAACTAAAATATGTAAAAAGAAATTTCACAATGTATTTAAAAGATTTTAGATAATCGCGCCAAGAAAATGTTTTTAATTAGACACCAGTAAGCGAAGGACAAAATTTGATCCACAAGAAGATATGTGATCTTCTGCACAAAATTGTATCATTATCAGTTGTATGTTATTTTTGGAATGGGTCGAAAAAGTCTTAAAAATGAATTCGGATGGAGCATGTATAGTGAAGCTATGGTCACTTTCTGCTGATTGGAGCCAATCTTATCATATTTTATTTTAATCTTAATCTAGATTCACTTTAATTGGAAAAAACGTAGAGTGAAGTATGGAGGGTGAAATGAAAATCTGCAACCAATTTCAGACTGCTGTCATTTCTAAGCCACTCGTCCGACAGCTGATAACATTATTCCAGTGACAGCTCATTATATTGTTTACAAGCGTATAAAAGCATTTTGGTGAAAAATTTCCAGAAAAAATGTTATTAGTGATGGAATTCAAACGTTATAGTGAGATTTATTTATATTGGGCTGGAAAACCACAAGTGGCTATCGTTAGAGCACTCCAGCATTTCAATGTGAATAAATATTTTGTGTCACGTACCATCGCTCGTTACCGTGATACTGGTAGCGTAGCTCGACGTCAAGGAAGTGAAAGGAAGAAAACAGCAACATCAGCAGAATAGGTTCGAAAAGTAATGAAGCGATTTGATCGAAACCCGCGTCGCAGTGGCCTGAACATATCACAATATTCCATTTGGCAAATATTGAAAAATGAGCTCGAGGTAATGCCATTGACATTCCATGGTTACAAAATGAGGTTCCTCGCTTCATTTCCAGCACACAATGGACGCGAAAATCTTCGGATACCAATCCGGTTGGCACTAAAAATGGTTGGCACCTCAAGCAAGGGCTTCGCCGGGAATGGCCAAAATACCGCAAAGCAAAATTTGAGAAGCATGTGACGATTTCTTTGGCAGTTTGAAGGCTATAATTCGTGCCAAAGGCGACCAATTCAATGTAATCTTATTCTAAAATTTGATGCAATTTCCGATATTTTTTGCTTTCATTCAATACAATTTAAAAAAAAAAAAATTAAAAATTATGGCATTTGACTTTGTTGCATTCTTTTATCTCACTTTGTAAATGGGAGCTATAGCTATATATGAACCGATTTTCTTTCCAAATTTCCAAATTTTATTTACTTGCTTCTAGACTGAATTCTGTGGGATGTACCAAAATACAGGTCATTTGGACTTATATTAGCCATTTGGTGCACAATTAACCCGAATTCGGTTGAAGATATATGGGAGCTATATCTAAACCTGATCCGATTATGATTAAATTCAATAAGGTTCGTCCCTGGGTCAAACAAATATTGTTTGGAAAATTTCATCTCAATCAGTTAATAGATGCGACCTGCATTTTGTTCACAAAAATACATGGGTGGACAGATGGACTGAAATGCATAATTCGACTCAATAGTGATTCTATGAAGATCCTCAAAAGTAATTATGGGTCAATCTCACTTCCTTCTCCATGTTAAAAATGCACAAAGACATAATACACTTACCACTATGTGGTGTAGGGTGTAAATATGCTAAAATATAAAAATTTTTTGATATCGTGGTATACCCTTAAATGATTCTACATGGAAACAAAGGACTGTATCAAATCTGAAATTATCGTAAATTTGGCAAAATATTTGAGGCCCTTTGTGTATAGTTAAGGCTATATACAATGGGCCCTAAAAAAGGTTGGCCTGGGAATCCAATACCCTTTTAGGATTTTGATCTACTAACCGAATACTTTCCTCTTAGAATTTCCCAACCCCTAGATTGGCTCTTGTACAATGTCATTATTTACTATTCCGCACAACGGTTCCTGCAATTCAAGTATCTTTCGTTCTATCCTTTTGTAAAGCCCGCATATTACAGTGTATCTTTATATTCGATATTTCAATGATAGCAGTCTCATTCGACGGATTATTATCAGGTGATAGAAGTAGATCAACGTTTTGAGATGTTTGAGTATGTTCGCATCTTCCAGGTTAATCACGATGTAGGCCCTAGGGTTAGAATGTTAGAGGCCAATTGTAGTCCGAACAAATCACCATTTAACATCGTATTGTGTACTAATTGAATCTTCATCTTACACTCAGAATTCAAAATAAAAAACGATAAAAAATGTACATTTCAATATGACATGTCAAAAGTGAAAAAAATCACGCGGTATTAAAATTACAGAAATTAAAAAAAAAAATATTTTAATAATTTTTTTTTTTTTTTTTTTTTTTTTTTTTTTTGTGGATATTATCATTTCTACCGAGAGACTATTCCGAAATGGTGTCAAACTCAAGCCAGCCGATCTTGAGTTATAAGCATAGTAATTAACATAATATTCTTTTATATGTAGATATAATTATTTTATATTTTATTTTTTATATGGTATGTGCCTTCTTTCGGATGTTTTCATACAATCTCCAATATGTCTTCGTTAGCCAAAGATTCTTCTTTAATTTTTTTTTTTTTATTATCTGTGATGATGGCTTTACGACATCATTTCAAATTTTCGGGCACTTGACTTAAAATTCAATTTATTTTTAACTCCCACATATCTTTGTGTATTTATGACATATATGAAAATAATAAGTTCTTCCCTTAAAATACATTTGTGTCAAAGTAGGTCAAAAGAATATGTATTATATATTTTTTTCATCGAATGAAATTAATAATTTATAATCTTGATTTCTAATAATAATACTTGGAAAATGGTCTGTACATATGTAGGAAACATAAGTATTGGAATTCTTTTGAATGTCATACAGGAATATAATTATCATTGCTTTGAAATGACATTAATCTCTTGAATGACATGAAAGTTTCCTCTTTTTTTCAAAATAAAAATTATATAGAATTTATAAGGTCATACACATGCATCCAAATATGTCGCATAAAATACATATGAATCTCTAGGTTTCCTACCCACAGACATACATATATAACCTACACAAATACAATTTATCTGTGAATTGCAAAAAAAAAAAAAAAATGAAAATACACATAAAATTGCCCCACTACTTACCATCTCCATGGCAGACAATTTGTCCGGGATATGTGAGGAAATCGATTGCAATTGTTCTGCACATTCTGTATGTGTGTGTTTGTGTGTAAATGTTACCTTGGGGCGGATGTAACTAAAATAAAAACTATCAATAAAAATAGCATTATGCAAAACAGGATATTGACTTTCAGATTGTTTTTTCCCCTGCATCTCATTTCTTGGTTTTTGTTGCTGTTAACGCTTCCGCTGAAACCGAACGAACACACTTCCACTTATGGCCTTATTTGTAAAAGATCAATGTGTATTTATCATGCAAAACGAGACAGTGATATGTTATAGTGCATAGAGCTATTCCAGTGAGGATGAGACCAAATGGTTACAAAAAATAAAAATAAAATAAGCGAAAACAACGTTATATTTGGGTAGGACTAGGACTTCAATTTCAAAGCTACCACCATTTTTATACCCTACACCACAAGATGGTCAGGGTATTATGTCTTTGTACATTTGTTTGTAACAGGCAAAAGGAAACGAGATAGACCCATAGTTCCTTTTGATTATCTGCATAGAATCATATTCTGAGTCGATTCATGCATCTCCATTCGTCTGTCCATGTATTTTTGCAAACAAAGTACAGGCCGCATTTATTGTTCGATCCAGATGAAATTTTGTAGAATGGACGAACCCTATTGAAATTGGAGATCATCGGTCAAAATTTAGATACAGCTCCAATATATATCTTCGTCCGATTTGCCTTTTATTGTGCACCAAACCTGCAATATTAGCCCAAATATTATGGAATTCTGCACGTACGACGATTATAGAAATGGGTTCAGATATAGCTATAGTTCCCACATATATTGTTCGATATTTGGAGAAAAATAGAGAATTCAACTCATAAATACCTTTGCTAAATTTTATCGATATAGGTTCAGATTTGGATATAGCTCGCAAATATATTTTCATCGGTGTGCATCAAACATTTAATATTAGTCCCAATAGGATGGAAATTGGCACTTACGATCAAATCGAGTCTAGAAACAAGTACGTGAAATTTGGTGAAAATCGGTTAAGATATAGCTATAGCTCCCATATATATTGTTCATCCGATTTGTTGAATTTGTCCTGCAAAGCCGCAATATGCACTCCGTAGTAACGATATTCGGGGAAATATATCAAATACAGCTCAGAAATACATTTGCCAAATTTTATCGAGGTCGGTTAAAATTTGGATATAGCTTCTATATATTTTTATCCAATGTAAAGTTAATTGTGCACCAAATTGGTAATACAAGCCCGAATTGTAAAGGCACAGATGCCTCGGCGAATTTAGTAGAAATCGATTCAGAGGAGGATATTCCTCTTATATATTAGTTCCTTTGAACTTTAAATTATAACTATAATCGTAGTTGCTATGATTTAATCTCATTAGTATGGAATTTGGAATTTAAAGAACCAAATGCCAAAACCTGTTAACAAAAATATTAAATATAAATATTAAATAACTTTTATAGAACAGACCGACATTAGACTTCAAATTCCCCCTGGCAAAAAGTATTTTTATATATATCGGTTGTGTATTATTTTATTGGAACTTTCTCACATTTACATTGAATACTGAATTTTTTATGCTAAATAAATGGCATATCTATATAACATTCTTCTCATATTCCATCGCCACATTTGCATATATTGAGCATTATATTCGAGTATCTGTATCGCAGACATTTCTTGCACTTTTTCTCTTTTTCTACACTTTTTTCATTTGTGAAAGCAATAAAAA